GATGACAAGGGAAATGTCTATATATACGATGTTAAAGGTAAGGAGTAATAAATAAGTTTATAAATTTCCTTAGGCCTGGTGCCCACGATGCTAGAAATCGATCCGAGTTCTCGGACCGAGAAATATATAGCCAATTAACTTTCCAGATAACTAAATTATAAATTAATAATTACTAAATTAATTAATTAATTAATTACTAAATTTATTAATTTATTATTATTTTGCTGAGAAGCAATTATAGCTAATGTCGAAATACGCTTTCGATCAGCCATTTTGTACAACACATATGTAGGCACAACACACATGTAGTATGTCACATTGAGCATTCTTCCATGGCTGTTCGAAAACTCCTCTCGATACCAACTCCACTAACCCCATTAAGCCCATCCACCACAGCCACTTTCCGTCGTGGACTTTCAGGGTTTTCGAACGCACCCTAGGGCAGTCAGTTCACTGAACTCGCTGCACTAGTTCAGCCTGCACTGTTCGAAAGAACACATTTCTTGCACTGTTCTGATCGAAAGAACGCATTAGTGCAAACTTCGTGAACTAGTGCAGCCAGTTCAGGTCGAAAGAACAAACCTATTATGAAAAATGTAGTACAACTGCGGGTGTATTCCGAACCAATGCCGGTCGGCTTTTTTTTTATTTCTAGATATTGACAGCCACGTAACTAATAGCGAATTCGGTAGCTTGCACTAGTGCGCACTGAGTGCGCATTAAGGCTTGTTTACAGTACATTCTTATATTTAAGATCGTGTCTTAAATACATATTTAAAAACATTTTAACTAATAAAATGATTCGTACGGATGTTATACATATCATATTATGGTTAAAAATATTTGAGAATTTATTTGAGAATTATTTAAGACAATCTTTAAATATAATAACATACTATGAACAAGCCTTAGTGCGCACTCAGTGCACACTAGTGCAAGCAACCGAATTCGCTATAAGCCGAAGCTGCGAAGTGTTCCGAACTCAACATAACCTGCAAAAATTAATAGCTTATAGTGAACAAGTATTATTGTTGTACAAATTGTAGTAGTATTATTGTTAATACAAATAACATAAAAATGAATAAAAATATAATAACAGTGCTCAACGTGGTTTTTGAGAGTTCGAGTTTAAGTGATAGTAGTGATGACGAAGATATGAAAATTATTTTTTGCGAGAAAAATAAATCTCAAAGGAAACCAAGAGTTAAAAATTTTATTGAAAATGTGATCTACGCCTATAACACCGAAGAATTTAAACGACATTTTCGGTAAGTTATCATGCAAAATAAGTAATAAGTGTTTTTATTTTAATGTTGAATTCAATTTCCAGTATATGTCGCAGTACTTTTTATTTTTTATTGAATATCTTGAGACCATATTTGGAAACAGAGAAAAGTGGTCCTGTTATTTCACCTGAAAAGTTGTATATTGCTTTGTGTTAGGAACACCTGATTCATATAGGTAAATATTCATATTTAATTACTATTGTATATTTTCTTGAATTGGTTCTTCTTCAATTAATGTTCATTCATAACTTAATTTGATATAGATCTGTTGTAACTAAATTCGATGTAGGAAATGCCATAGCTTGGTGAGCTGTAAAAAGAGTAGTGAAAGCTCTATGTCACTTTTAGAACTATTTCATCCATTGGCCAACATCAGAAGAAGCAGAAGTTACTGCCAGGTATATACAGAACAAATATAACTTCCCATATGTAATTAGAGCTGTGGATGGGACATTACAATCGCAGCTCCAAAAGAAAATGCACTTGCGTACATAAATCGAAAAGGACATCACTCTATACAGCTGCAGGTATAAAGCATTCTAAAATACTATATTTTCACTTGTAAATTAAATTATAGGAATATATAAAACACCTAGTAAACACACAACATTACATTATATAAATGTCAAATAGTATGTATGTAACATATATGTTATGGAACTCATACTTAGTATTTATTTGCCATTGATCTTGTTTAGAGGTAGTTTACAATCAAAAAAGGGAATTTATTCACTGCTACACTGGAATGCCAGGATTAGTGCACGCGATATGAGAGTGTTTAAATATTCTGGTCTACAACACAAATGTAATGAGAATCATATTGATAATAATAAATATCTCATTGCTGATTCAGCTTACACTGTACAAAAATTTGTGATGGTGCCATATCGAGATAATGAACATTTAACAGCTAAAGAAATTAATTACAACTATGCTCTATCTAAAAGCAGAATGATTGTGAAACAATCTATAGATCTTTTGAAAGGACGATGGAAATATTTATTGGACAAACTGCCAATGCGTAGGACAGACTTTATCCCTTATTATATTATAGCTTATTGTGTTCTTCACAATATCTGTGTTATGAAAAGAGATAAGATGAAATACTCAGTTAACCTTCCGGACAATGTGGAAAATGGTGGACCTTTGGAAGTTACTCCAGAACAACAACGAGAAGAAGTCATAAAAAGAGAGCAAATAAAAAATTATCTTACTATTGTAAGAAATAACTAAATGAGAACAAATTTTGACATTTACACATATGAAGTATTTTTATTTTATACTTTGTTATGTATTATATTATATACTTGTTTTCTTATGTATATATATATAGATATTATGTATTATATTTTATACCGAATTTACCAAAAAAAATCCAAACATCTTGTAAACGTGAGGGCAAGGTGACCTTAACTTAACAAGTAATTATAACAACGGAATATGAACAAAGTCGAAAATATATTTGATTAAACGCAGTTTAACACAACGTTTTCTTATTCTAAGCCTTACATTCTCAATCGCAAACGCACCTTCCACAACGAACGATAAATATACACATTCGACTATTAACAAAGAACTCACAAGTTAACCGACAATATTTCCGACAAAAGACTAGCTAGTTTAAACGCAAAATCGACAGTTCAAAAGACAACCGGCAAACAGCCCCTTCGCAAAGCAGCCAGCTCCTTTTTTTTTTATTGAGAGAAATATACAGGGTCATCGAAAAGTATTGGACCCCCCTAATATCTTCAGTTAAAATGCATTTTGGAGAAAATGTCCAATAGCAAAGTTGTATGGTTTCAAGCAGGGAGTAAGATGATGGGTCCGTGTGGGTGGCGGACGTAAAGAATACCCCCAACGTATGGCCTGCGTGTCGTAAAAGGCGACTAAACGCCCTCATGGGTGGGTTGCTGCGCCCATGAGTATTAGGAGCCGGAGGGCTCCCCTCCCTCTCGCTTCAGAGAGGGAGGGAAGCCCAAAGGCGCCTACAGCGGGGAGCGTACCGGATCCCTTATGCCAGTATGGTACCGGTCTCTCGGGTGGGCAGCGACGCCCGAGAGTTCTAGAGGAAGGCGAGCGCGCCCGGCTGTCCTTAGGGCAGCCGGAGCGGGTGAACCGACCTCACCGCGGGGGCAGTCGGGTCCCTTATGCCAGTATGGTACCGGTCTCTCGGGTGGGCAGCGACGCCCGAGAGTTCTAGAGGAAGGCGAGCGCGCCCGGCTGTCCTTAGGGCAGCCGGAGCGGGTGAACCGACCTCACCGCGGGGGCAGTCGGGTCCCTTATGCCAGTATGGTACCGGTCTCTCGGGTGGGCAGCGACGCCCGAGAGTTCTAGAGGAAGGCGAGCGCGCCCGGCTGTCCTTAGGGCAGCCGGAGCGGGTGAACCGACCTCACCGCGGGGGCAGTCGGGTCCCTTATGCCAGTATGGTACCGGTCTCTCGGGTGGGCAGCGACGCCCGAGAGTTCTAGAGGAAGGCGAGCGCGCCCGGCTGTCCTTAGGGCAGCCGGAGCGGGTGAACCGACCTCACCGCGGGGGCAGTCGGGTCCCTTATGCCAGTACGGCAACCGGCCTCCCGGGTGGGCAGCTGCGCCCGGGAGTAGTAAGATCCTCGGTGAATACTTCACCGGGGATCCACAGCGGGGGCAGGGCGGGCTCCTGAGGCTCCGTTGAGCCAAACCGCCCTAGGGGGCGGCCCGAGAAGCCGCCCGGGTTGGGGAGCCGCCGTCATGCCCCCCATTAAAACATATGATGGAAAGAAAAAAGGAAAAGACTTGCGGCGAGTCGGATGCGTCGCGCCGGCATGGGGGGGCTATGGTCCCAGGCTCCCCCTTGTCGTCAACGAACGATGGGCCGAGGGAAGCCGGGGCGTCTGCGGCGGGCGTGCCGGCGGATATTGCGACCGCCGAGGGGAGGGGGGAAACAGGAAAAAAGGAGGGGGAGAGTGGGGAAGGAGGAGTGAAAAGAAGGAAGATAGAGGAAGAGCAGGAAGGGATTGGGACAGGGATAAAGAAAAAGATAGGGGAAGAGGATAAGGGGATGGATGTGGAAGAGAAGGAGGGGTGGCCGGATCCACACAGAATGGATAAGAATAGGGAGTTTGTGCTCACACAGTTTCATTATCTTAGGCAAAGTGCTGAGCACATCGGCGACATAATAGGGAGAAGCAAGAGGATGAGTGGGGTGGAGAAGGGAAACATAACGAAAAGCAAAGACGAAATGGTGAGATATGGGGAAGAAATTGCAAAGGTATTCAGAACAAGAACGGAAGCACTAGAGGGAGTGTTAAGAGAAAGGGACGAGCTATTGAATAGGTATGAAAATGACGATGTAGAATGGGTATTGGAACTGGATAAACACAGAAGGGTAATATGT